TGCATTTTTTTTTATCGAAACATAAATAATAATACCTTATCTGTTCAAGCCAACATAAACATAGTTCAACGGTTGAGGTTGTTGGATTTTTAATGAGTAAAAGAAAGTGAAATTTGAAGATATTGAAAAACAGTTGAATATACGAATTTAATGTTCGAAAATTAAATTTGTAACTATTAAGAATTTGAATAACTTTTAACTATTATTTTATATTTTGTTTATTAATTCGTTTTGTTTCTTTATTTTATGTTAAAGTTGGAGTTATATTTTAAATGAAAAGTTTTCTCTTAAACTTGATGTTAATTCACGTGCGAGGAGTTTCATATTAGTGCAAACATATTTATAGTTGTTTTCTTCCTTTGAGATATCCAAACATACTACAATTGGATTTTCTCCTCATCTTACAAGAATTCTCGCTTCTTGTTGTTCTTGTTTAAGTTGCGGACAAGTGTCTAAAAGTTCTATCAGATTCGAGTAGTTCGAGGTTGCTGTTCTATCGAAGTTAGTCGTTGTATCCTACTGAAACGATCGATGTAGTCTACTAGCAACTTGTGCAGAGCGAATAATTGTTTTCAGGTCAGTGTTATTGAAGCATGCTTCGACTATATTTCATTAAATTTTGGTATTCATCAAGTTGTCAAACCTTATAATTTTTTATAGTCAATTACGTTGTAATGTGTTTGCCAATTTTACACAATTTACATATACAGTATATTTATCCAACAATAACATCAACTTCTCTCTTGAAGTTGGAAACCTCGCATTTGTTCTACTACAAAAAAAATAAACATTTGCCTAATCATATATCAGCAAGAATTTTCTTATTTACCAAATTTTAACTGCTATTTACTAATTTGAAAAAAAAAAACATTTATTTTGTTCGTCTTTCTCTCTTTCTGCATTTCTCTCTTCTCTTTGTCAAAAATTTAACCATGGTAAGTAGGAGATCCATGTTGATATCTCGTTAGTAGAAAAGTATTTTCTCAAAATAAATAAATCAAGTTTAACTATATCACATTTAACTCCAATAATGAAATTAATATTTTCATCTAGTCAATTTGATTTTAGAAAAGAAAAGAAAAAAAAAAGAGATTTGTAGGTAGCTATGATCTATGTTTCTTTTGGCTATATTCAAACGCACTAGTATTGAATTAAATGCCTTTTTTGTTATTTGATTTGTGATTAGGATTGATAGTGTCTTTACTATTTAAACTCTCTCTCTCTCTCTTTCTTTTGTGATGATTGGATTTTGGTTAGAATAAAATGATTAAAGCATGAATTAAAACATAAATTATGTTCATAATAATCAAAATAATGTATGTCAATTCTTGAGATCTTATAGATTGGTTCATTAAGACGAAGCTCAACCTGTTGACATGAAAGGCTCTATATGTTGACACTATCGAAGAATTGAATTGTGTTGGATATATTTTGGGATCATGACCCTATAATCTTGTCTTATTTATAATATTTTTTTAGGGCTCCACAAAACTCAACAAAAATATAGTGCCCTAGATATTTTGATTACTTTTAATTTGATTTTTTAAGATAGAGATAGAATCATTGACGTCTAACTGATAAGAGATCCATCGAAAATTGTTTGGAATGACACTTTTAATTTGATCAACTATATACAACTATATAAAAGATCCTTGACACAATTCTTAGATATGTACCCATTTTATTTAGAGTTATAAATTCTATCAACTTTGAGTGTTTCTTTTTTGTCTAATTTCTTAAAAGATTTTAAATATTTGGAATATGTGGACATGAGCTATTAAATTGGTGAATAATAACAAAATGAGAAGTATTAGCGGTTTGATATTTTATGGGCCGTCATACATGAAATATGGGCTTGGGCTATTGCCTTCTTTAACGGGCCTGTCATCAGTAATTTGGATGAAAAATATCATATTGGCCCTTTAACCAGTTGTTGTTCTTAAAAGATGACTCTTTGAATTATACTGTTCATTCTACCATCCTTGTAAATTTGTAATTCACTCTTTCATGATTTCATTGGTGGGCATACTCTTCTTGAAATTTTAATTCATACCCTAGTTCATGGTAAATAAGATAATGGTGTCATTTAAAAAAAAGGGCCCTTAGAATAATATTGTTGTTAGGTGTAGCAATAGAGGAAAGATGAGAAGAGGAAGGACAAGGTAAAAGACCTCAGACCTCGGACCTCGACATAACCTCGACTCAATGTACTTCGAAGTAAACTCCTGTCAACTATTGCACTTGAACGAAATATTGGTTGTAATTCTCATCCGTTGTGATGTCTAGTGACCTTTTAGTGGACCTCACTTGCTAACGGTATAAATATGATAATCACTATAATATTCAGGTATATGCATGATTGATAGTTCGTCTTGAGAATACTTCTGATATTATTGATTTAAGCGTTGAAGTTTGCTTTCTCTCTTTTATAGGTCATACGCTCACCTCAAAACGTCATTTATACACATATCAACACACTCAATTTCCAGGGATGAACAATTGTTTTATATCTCCTGAAGGAGGCCTATGAATGTCTGGGCTCTAAGCCGTATGTACCATCGTTCAATTTCGTATTCTGCCATGCATAAACTTTTCCTTGTCGGAACCGGTTAATACATGACATAGTTGTAATCTCATCCATATTCTAGTATAAAAGTTAGAAAGAGGAAAGATATCTATATATATATATATATTATTGTTACATACTTACATCCAATAAAAAGGATATTGGGCCTGGGCCCAGATTCAAGAGGCCTTTTCATTAATGCTAGCTAATCCAATGACGCGGCGTGCTGATTTTTCTTACCACATTATTATTTCGCACCGCCACTGTCTTCCCATTAGCTATAATGGTCTATTTCCTTCTTGCTCTTGAAACTTTTCTTTTTTCTTTTAAAAAAATGAAAATACAATTTTTTTTTTTGTCTCTAAGATTCTTTTTATTTAGTTCATGAGTTTAAAAAAATTATCATTTTTTGCCCTTGAAGTTTCAAGAGTGACATGTTTAGTTATTGAAGTTTGAATTTAGTTTTTTATTGGTTTGACCATGAAGTTTGAATTTAATTTCTAATTAGTTCTCAAATTAAGTTGACCGTTAGTTAACATAATAGTATTGTTGTTTCTCTTTTGTCTAAGTATAAAATTCTAATCAACATTTATTAGTTGTCACATTATCATTAAATTAAGTTAAATAACGATTGACTCAACTTAGGGACTAAGTAGAAACCGTACTCAAACTTCAAGGATCAATTATAAACCAAACTCAAGTTTTATGAACTAATTAAAAACTAAATTCAAACTTCCCTTACCAAATATGTCACTTTTGAAAACTTAATGAACAAATAGAAACTAAAAAATCTCATGGACCAAAAATCCAGTGACAAAATAGAAACCAATTCCAAACGGACTAAAAATGTATTTTACTATCTTTTAATTACAAATTTAGTCATATAACTTTATAAATTAAGTTTAATAGAGATATGTACCTGATAAGTCAATAGATTTTCAATTTTGTGTTTATAAAATATTTTTTTAATTTATATATATTTATTAGATACAAAATTAAAAATTTACTGCTCGTAATAGAAAATTTTAATTTTGTGCTGATAAATCTATATATTTTGAAGAATGTTGGAAATGCTAAGAATCTTATATACAAAATTAAAGGTTTCGAAAATTATTAGAATTTTACATGATATGCACCTTTTAAATTCGTAGTGTTGGACACCATTTTAAAAAATTAAGATACTACACTTGTAATTTAGCATTTTTTTCCTCCCTCTCTAAAATAGGTTTGTTTTTTAAATTTTATTTTATTAAGTAAAATAGATTATCTTTGAGCTTTGAACCACAAGGTCGGCCATTATGATAATAATATTTAATCATCGACTTCAAAACCCTCAATTTACTGTTCCTATTTTTTAAATTTTTTGTTCTCCCTCTTTGTTGCTTCAATGTGGAAGGACAAATGAGCCCAACAATTTGTAATAAATTTATCCAAAAAACAGTGAATAATTGAATTAGCACAACAAATATAAGAGCAAATGATTGAATTAAATTCCGCTCCCAAAGAATAAGTAAAGATGTCTTAACGTGACAATTAAGTTAATTTTAGCTGCCAAAGTGAGCATAGCTCAGCGGTAATTGACATATACCTCAAACTATGAAGTTGTGTTTTTCTTTTTCCTTGTATTTTATTTCTAAATCTTATTTTTACTTTTTCAATACAGGACTACAAACTTGCTCATGGTTACTTTTTTTAGTAACATGTTGAGAGGATTAAACTAATAACTTATTGATTAGAAATATATGTCAATTACCACTGAGATATGTTCGCATTAACACTTACTTGTTCATTTAACTAGGTATGGAATAATTACGTAAATATCTATTGTCTCGGATCTCTTTTCAATAATACGATATTATAACTTTGTTTTTCATATCACAAAAAAAAGCCTCATAAATATGTTGTCAACCACTTATATACCCACAATTTTCTTATTTCCTAACCAATATGGGACTTTAGTTATCACACACCCAACAATCAACATAATTTAACAATTTAGCACGACATCTCGTAATTTGGGGTGTTATTAAAAAATAAACTAACCTCAACAAATTATTTATCACTCTTAAGTAACTAGTGCTCACAACACCATATCTCGTGCAGTAGTTACATCAAGGATGTGATAATTCTGCTAAGCTCCACCGACCTTTGCATCTTAACTTAGGTAGTTTAGTTAGAATTTAAACATAACTATTTCATAACTATTAAAGTATTGATTTAAAACTTTGACAAATAACTTTAGAACAACTATACTTCCTCAAAACTCAAGCATTAAAGAGATTCGTGGCATCAAATTATTAGGGAAAAAAATGAATGCACAAAAAAGAAAAGAAAAAGAGTAATTAATCATTATAATTATATAAATCTAGAGTTCTATTATTATTATTATTATTATTTTTGGTTAAAAGAGAAAAAGAAGTGCAAACTTGTTGACTCTAAAAGACGCCTCGCCAGCGCCAACTGCCTCCATTTTTGATCACCTTCTCTCTCTCTCTCTCTATCCTCCTTATGTCTCTGACTCTGTCTTCCCTTCGACTCTGAGAAGCTCCGTCCTCTCTACGATTCTCCGGAGATGGGAACTGCATGGAGGCAGCTCAAGGCCATGCTCCGCAAGAACTGGCTCCTCAAGATTCGCCACCCTTTCATCACCTCTGCAGAGGTCTCCTCTCTATTCATTCACTTGATTTCGCGGCTGCTTTACACTTCTCTTCATTTTCATCGTAATCTACACGCTAGGGTTTTCTCGTTCCCTGTGGACCTCATTTTCATGTTTCCATCACTGTATCGCTATTTTCGGCATCGATTAAATTTGCAATAGGATGTGCAACTGGCTGTGGCTGTGGCATACGCAGTTTAGTTTCTGTTTTGTTTGGCTCATAATCAAGAAGACTTTGCGTTTTTTTTTTGGTTTATGTTCTTGTTCTGGAATTGATGATTGAATGACTGGAATGTTGTTTCTGTTTCCGGCAGATTTTACTTCCGGCTGTTGTGATGTTGTTACTGATTGCCGTGAGGACGCAAGTTGGTAACAGAGTTCATCCTCCGCAACCGTGAGTTCTAAAAATTTACTAATAGTTTTAACATTTTGTTTCTATCTGTCTTATGAGTGATATGTGATTTTACCTGTTTTGATTTGTTTGCTTGAGTGTGTATCGCAGTATTGTTCGTGGAACTGTGTTTTTGTTTTGCGTTTTGCCAAATTTCATGCTTCTCTTTCAAAATATTTTTACGACTATCCTCAAGATGTAATTAATTTTAGATGAGAAGGCCTTTCTGTATTTAGCTTCAGTGGTTTTGAGGACGTTCTCTTATAAATGCTCCTAAGATGATAATTTTTCGGACTGTATATTTTCATTAATCAAATTAATGGAGAGTTCTTAGCTGGAGTTGAAAAAAGAGGAGAAGCTGATATTTGTTTGTTGTGGTTTTATTTTCTTTTGGAAAATGAAAAAGGAGGCTTTAGTTATTTTTTTTAAATTTATTATTTTATAATATGCATAAGCATCCTAGTTGGAGTTTTTTCTTTTCAAATTTTCGTGCATATTCAGGCTTGAATATGTGTTATCCTATAATTGGTTTACATTCTATTTGTATAATTGATCAAGCAAATGAGTAGTCAGCGGAAAGAATTGGCTCCAATTATTTAAGCACGTTTGAAATATATTCCCCACTTTATGATCCCGGGCATTATCCTTTGTTTTGTGTCAGGCATATACAGAAAGGAATGTTTGTAGAAATTGGCAAAGGCATGTCCCCAAATTTCCAGGAAGTTCTGGAATCTCTACAGAAAGATGGAGAATATTTGGCTGTTGCACCAGATACAGTCGAGACGAAAACCATGATACGTTTGATGTCGATAAAATTTCCTCTTTTAAAGGTACTTATCAGTGTCTACTTTTGTGATTTAATTCAATTAGTATTAAAAAATGATTTGGAGCAGGATTCCTGCTGCACTTTGATGGTATTTTTTGTTTGACCATTAAGTATGAATTTCTGTGGCTGTGCCCCCAACATATAATTAAAGGAATACACTAAAAGTCGTACTAGAACATATATATCATAGACCCTTTGCGAGGAATAAATGATCTCAATGCTTCATTTTCCAAGTTCATGGCCTCTCATTGATGTTCTTTGTCTAAGCGCTTAGTTAATTATGCCGTGACTGATATTTGTTACAATTTAGATGCTTTTAGTTTTGCAAATTAGGTTCTTTTGTTTTTGTTCTTTCATTCCAGTAGGAGTTTGTTTCCTTGATCATTTATTGTATCTTTTCCTTATTTCAATGCAGAGTTTATTTCTTGTTAATTAAAAAAAGAAAAGTACCAAATGGTAGACAAAAAATTGATTGATCCTGTTTTCTTTGCTAGTTTGAACTTTGAATCAGGTTTAAAAGTAATATATATTGATTAACCACCTCATTTACAATTTTTTCTTTTTTTTTGTTACGATCTGCAAATAAATCCCCATGATTTGTCGAGGTTTCATTATCTAATTTATTTTGTAAAAAAAAAAACACTCTTGGGAAGAGGGGATACAAACCAAATGGGAATGCTCTCTTCTCTCTCTTATCCAAGGTTGTAGATTCATAGGTTTGGCTTCATCCAACTAGTTTCCAGATTTGAGTTCAGTTACTTTTTGATCTAGATTCAATCGTCCAAGGTTGTTTTGGGTCCAGTAAATTTAAGTTGCAAGTTAAGTAAGTGCTCAAGAGTAGAGATTCTTTCTTTTACGATGGAAGTTAATAGTTGTTGTATTAAAAATAAGCACTATTGCACGTGGATTGAAAATGAGTGCTCTTTCATTGAAGACATGGAAAGAAATTTGTTGTTGCCTCTCCATTCATTTCAGTTAGCCTCATTTGAAGACTCTTTTGTCGAGTTAACGCACTGTCCTATTCGAACTACTTTTTCAAGCAAGTTAGGAATGATTTTGGAACTTGCAGACTCCAAAAATTCAGATACAACTCTTTAGAATGTATGCAAAATAAAAAATGTGTAGTATGGCCCACCTCTGGAGGAAGAAAGAGTATTATCGTTCTTGTTGGACACAATAAAAGTGGTTGGTTGGCTTTTTGGGATATCTTTCAAGTTTGGTTAACTAGAAACAAAGGAATTTTTAGCTCAAAGAATCCTACCAGTCAATCCAAAATTTCGTATGCTGATATTATTAAAAGAAATGGAAAAGAAGATGTCACTTCATGTCCTGAGATGACTGTGAGAAATATTGAAAGAAAAGATGTAGAAATAAAAGTTAAAGATTCACTAATTAAGATGAAAAGTAGTAATTTTCTTCCAGAAAAGATTTCAGAAAAAAAAAAGACTGGCTACCAGGCAAAAAAAAGTAGTAATTTTAATATTTAACTATTGAGGACCCCAATCAAGATTGGCCGCCAGATCATCAATAGGGATGAAGCTTGAAATTAAGCCCAAAAGCATCAATCTGGACCCAATGGTTGAATAAAGGTGTTTTATTTTGCCCAAGTTTGCTCCATTTCTCCTTCATTGATAATGAAAGAGTGCTTGAGTTCTTATTAGTTAGATTTGTTGGCTTTTATGGTGTTGCCAGAACACCAAACTTCCGATATTCCTCAAGAATTTAAGTTGAGATTTCAAGGTGATGAAGTGGCAAAATTTTACCATTGGTTTCATTGGGAAATTCGGTCAAGAAGTTGCAAAAATATTATTCATCCAGAAATGGTGGAGTGTGAAATTTGGGTGGAATCTGAAACCTTCAATATATTAGTCAATTCTTTAAAGATTGTCAATCCTTTCCCAATTTTCTAAGGATGCCCTTTTGTGAGAAAGATGTTGAAGTGTCCAGTGGTTCTTATTGAAGTTCCTAAGTTGATATTTCACCCAAACACGAGGTTATCTTGTCGGTAAAAGGGTTCTTTCAACTCTAAGGAATTGAAAATGCCAAAGATTAATTGCATCCAAAGCTCATTGCATTTTGTCAGATTATAAGAAGTTGGAGATGAAGATAGGATGCTTGATTTCTATTTTTTCTTTCTTTTATTTTCTTTGCTTTATTTCAATTCCTTTGGGAGTTTACTCCCTAAGGAGCACAAACACAGACATGGCGACACACCAATTTCTAAAAATGTTGGGCACGGACATGTCGGGGACACGTGATGTTTTTTGAAACTTTTTAGATAATACATGCGTACGTATTGACGACACATAGTAATGATTCTAGATAAATTAACCACACAAATTTAACAAAACAAAACAAAATGTGCTCAACACTACAAAATTCGAAGAACAACAGCGGTTGAAGGCGTGGGAGGCGAAGCACAGTAGCGGCATGGGACTCTTATTCTCCGTAAGACAAATTAGGGCTGTTTTTTGTTTTTTTGTTAAAAAAAAAAAGAATAGGAGGCTTACTTTTAACATGGGTTGGGCTGGCATTTCATTTTTTTTAAAAATAGCCTACATTTTCTTTGAGTTATTTAGATAGGTGTGTTCGAGTTGTGTCCTCTATTTAGATACGTGTTCGACATGGCGACACGGACACTTCATAAAAATGATGTGTTCGTGCTTCCTAGTGTATCCCTTGAACATTTGTATTATCTTTTCATTAAATCAATGAAAAGTTTGTATCTTGTAAGTGAGTAGATCTTTAAATTTAGCGACTGCTATCCTTTTTATAAATGGGAGACCGCAGGGGCGAATATCGCATTCACACGATGGGTGTAGAGACTAAGGTTGGAGAGAATCTAATGTTCTATTCTCATTATTAAAGTCTATATATATAAACAAATATACAAGGTTGATCTAATCCTATAAGGAGAAGGTAAATGACAAATTAATATTAATATAAGAATATAAAATATACTAATATCTATACTCTAACACTCCCCCTCAAGTTGGTGCATATATGTTAATCATGCCCAACTTGTTAGACAAATAATCTATTCGTGCTCCATTCAACTTGTGTTCTGTGATTTTTTGATATCATTGGGATCACCTCAGAAGTTACGATTGATTTCTTCTCAGCCATAACAAACAAACGAACTTATTTGAACTAAACGACAGACCAGACCAAACCAATCTGAATAAGAAAAGGGAATCGAACTAAACCAATTGAATAGAGCCAAGTGAACCAAACCAATTGAACTGAAACAAAAGAACCGGACCAAAATCGGTATAAATCAACCAAACCGAACCGGAATGTGACGAACCAGGCCGAACCGAACTTGAACCGGATGAACCAAACCACTTGAAACCAAACCGGTTGAACTGGACCACTTGAACCGGATCAGGTGTTTTATGAAACCAGAAACCCTAAGTGCTACCCCACGACAACCCGAGGGGTGAAGACGACGGGTGGCGACTGGCGGTGACGAAAGCACACGGCGATGGCGTTTGGCGGCGAGATGAAACCTACGAACAACAATCGGAAAACAGCTGGCAAATCAGCAAACGACAGCGGTCGGTGGCGGCAGCGGTTGGAAGTGGTGGCCGGCGATGGTGGTCAGCGGCGGACGGCGGTGGTGGTCGGTGGTGGTCGGCGGTGACGGCGGTCGTAGTGAGTTGTGTTGGATAACAATAAACAAAAACCCTAAGGGACAAAACCCTAATGGGCACAAAACCCTAATGGGCATCAAAATCCTAATGGGCACATAGAAGAAACCNAGGTTTTACATGAAGAAGATTTGGCTCAGCATGTTCTATTCGATACGGGTAGGAAAAGAACCCAACTCGGTATTATTAAAAAAATAGAGAAATCAGAACCCAGTCAAGATGATACGAATCAACCCCTTCTTCTTGTGCCAAAGATCTTACCATTTCCGAAGGAACTGGAGTTACATCTCTTTTCCATTTCCATTCCAGAGTTTTTATGTGTTTCCWCKCCCCTTCGAGACCCCGAAAACTGAACAACTTTTCTTCGGAACACATACAAGATTCGTCATTGCAAAAAGGATAATGGTAACCCCACCATTAACTACTTCATTTATGAATTTCATAGTAATAGAAATACATGTCCTACCGCGACAGAATTTGTAACGCCGGCGGTGGTGGTCGGCGGTGATCGGCAGTCGTAGTGAGTTGTGTTGGATAGCAATGAACAAAACTCTAAGGCACAAAACCCTAATGGGCATCAAAACCCTAATGGGCGCAAAACCCTAATGGGCATCAAAACCCTAATGGGCACAAAACCTAGAGCTCTGATACCATGTAGAGACTAAGGTTGGAGAGAATCTAATGTTCTATTCTCATTATTAAAGTCTATATATATGGACAAATATAAAAGGTTGACCTAATCCTATAAGGAGAAGGTAAATGACAAATTAATATTAATATAAGAATATAAAATATACTAATATCTATACTCTAACAATGGGTACATTCCAAGACCTTGGATTCCCACCTAGGGGCAAGCCGAGATATAAAAGAGGCAATGAATCAACCTTACAATCGAGATAAGAAGCGATCTGTTGAAGCCTTTGATGCTGTATATTGATCCCACTAAGAGCTGACTTGTCCCAGTTTACCACAAGGCCCGAAAGCCACTCAAAGGCCTTAATCACCTTCAGCAAAGTAAACAGCATCTTGACATCTTCATTCCAAAAGATCAAAATGTCATCAGCGAATTGTAAATGAGAAACATGGATAAGCTTGCTGCCCACCAAAAAACCTTCGAAAAGCGCTTTGATGTAAATTCTTTCTAATAAACTGCTGAATACGTCGCTAACTAAGAGGAAGAAGGGGGAAAGGAGATCCCCTTGCCTCAAACCTCTAGAAGCGGATATTCACCCCTGCTGTCTCTCGTTTATAAAGATCTTGGAATGTACCCGTCGTGTGAATGCGCATACAGCGAGGCTCCCATAGAGGCAAGTGAAGTTGGTGAGCCGATGGTTCCTTTGTAAGGGACGAGCCACTTAATTATAGCAATGAGTTCACAAATCTAACTTTTGTGCCGATAATTGTTTATTTTACTGTAACTAAATTTATACCACCTTGTACTGACAGGTAGTTACTAGAGTCTACAAAGATGAAGAAGAGCTGGAAACCTACATTCGTTCTGATCTATATGGAATCTGCAATGTAGTTAGGTAAGTATTTAAATATTTTCTAAATTAAATTTATGGCTTTGTTTTAATTTTCTCATTAAAAAGGTAAATTTTCAAGCAATTTAACCTATGCAATTTTTTTGTACAGGATACGAACTTCTCATTGAAATAATAAAAAGGAACAAAATTGTTCAAAGATGTCGAGAGAGTGAAAAATACAAATAAAATTTAAAAACTCAGGAAGGTGCAACAATAGCACCCCAATTCGAATTAATCAAACTAGGGGAATAATGTTTAAATAGAGGAGATAAAGAACTCCAATGAGAAGCCTTGAATTTAACGAGATTGAAGCGTGCTGAAGGAGGCTGCTTATTTTCTTAACAAATCCTCAAATTTCTTTCATACCACAACTCATACACTAATGCCTTAACTCCATTCAGCCATAGGAGAGAAGCTTTAGGATTCAAAACCGGCCCCATCAGAAGCTGAATCAAATTATCTGCCATCTTCTTGCTGAAAACCCAAACCAAATTGAATTCTTCTAGCAAAAAACTCCAACACTGTCTTGCATAAGGGCATAAGAAAAATAGATGTACCATGCTTTCTTCATTGGACATACAGAATGCACAAACCGAGGGAGAAAGACTGATATTTGGGAGCTTCTTTTGTAGAACATCGATCGTGTTAACCTTACCATGAATAAGAATCCAAGAAAAGAAGCTTGCTTCCTTAGACTTTTAGTTTTCCGAATAGCCTTAAATAAGACTTTTGGCATAGAGACACCAGAGGGCTTTTTGCAAATTGATTCAACTGTGAAAGAACCCGAACTGTCCAAAGACCATTTCTTGCTATCTGGAGTGTTACTAGGAGAATGAGGGTGCAGCAAAGACAAAAACGAAGAAAATTCCTCCATCTCAAGTCATCATCTTTTAATAACCTTCTTGTAAGAATTTTCTAGGACAAGGTGTGAGAATCCCAAAAATCTGCTACAGACCCTGGAGGGAGGAGTGAAAGCCTGTAGATCATTGGGAAGTTATCCCTAAGGGGCTGATCTCCAACCCATTTGTGTACCCAAAACAGAATAGACACACCTGAGCCAAGTCTGAAAACCGAAAATTGATTCCATTGCAACCATTTCCGAGAGATGTTGATCCAAGGTCTTCTGAGGCAACCATTCATCATAATATCCAAAGACCATCCCATTTTAGACTCATCGTACAAACTTGCTATTACTTTTTGCCATAGAGCATTGGGTTCACCACCAAACCGCCAACCCCATTTAGCCAACAGAGCATTATTTTTCTTAGAGAAACCACCAATTCCCAGACCGCTCTTCCATAAGCTGAGAAGTGATATTCCAATTCACCAAATGATTTATGGATCCCGAAGAACCACTATTCTAAAGAAAAGATCTCATATTCTTTTCAATTTGTTTACAAACCCTAGAAGGGATTTGAAACAAAGAAAAGTAATATAGAGGAAGGTCAGATAAGACCGATTTGCAAAGAGTTAGATGGCCTCCTCTAGATAATTGAACCTCCTCCATCTATCTAGCTTCTTCTCAATTTTCTTCATTATAGGACTCCAAAATGCTACTATCCAGCTTCTTCTCAATTTTCTCCATTATAGGAATCCAAAATGCTACTGATCTCGGATTACCCCAGAGGAAACCCTAAATTCAAGAAAGGAAAAGAAACCATCTGACAGTTTAAAGATTCTGAAGAACTTTTTCAGAAGGTATATTAATGCCACAAATTGTCGATTTCTCCCAGTTAACCGAAAATCCTGACATACGCTCATAAGCTTTGATAGCCTTGATGAGATTATCCAGCATACCATCATTATCTTTACAAAAGATTAGTATATCATCAGTGAATTGTAAATGGGAGATATGGACCCTATCCCTTCCAACCAAGAAACCTTCATAGTAACCTCCCAAGTTGATGCTTTCCAAAATGCTACTAAAAGCATCCTGACAAGAAGAAAGAGAAAAGGCGAAAGAGGATCACCTTGTCTCAAACCGAAATTTGAAGTTAAAGACTCCCTTTAAATACTCATTAGCAACTGTAGTAGCTCAGTCAAGAGAATCTGTCTCGGGAAGAAATTTATTTGGGATATATATTTTTTAAGCATGGTTTATTGGGCTTCAAGTCCACTGGCACATGAATTGGTGCAAAAGGTTGTAATGGTTTGGGCTGGTAATTTGTCAACATGGATCAGTATTAAGGCTTATTGATACAGATCTAGTAATCTCATTCTAGGATTTAGTAATCTCACTCTAGGATGGATATTTAATCTAAGTGTGATAACTATAGAATATATGGATGCTTTCTAATGAATTTTGAAGAAGATGTCTAGAAAGTAATTGTTGTTGTGAACTAATATCAATATTAATGGGATGTTGAGTCTCAATTTTAACGGTAGAGATAGTTGAGCTGGCAACAGGGTTTTTGAGGTGATATTTGTGAGGGAGTGAGAGAGGTTGAAATGATGGTAGGAAGGTGAGATAGGGGAAGGAAAGCCATAGTGAAGGTAGTTTTTGGTATTCTATAAGGAGAAAGTGGAAGAAAAACTAGCTGGGATGGAAAACTCTCCCCTCTCTCTCCCCACCACCATCCCTACCAAACATTCATCTTCGACTATATGCCGATATTAAGCTCCTGTAAGGATAATCATGACCAACAAACCAGCAACAACCCACAGATGTGCCACGATAGAAAGGAAGCGCTTCTTGGTCGAAGTGGACCAAAGATACCGAGGCAGTCGCCTCAAATTATCAGAGGCCTCGAAAGATAAGTCCTTCTTCATTTCCTTACATTGCCCCCCATAACATGGCTTACTTTGAGCTTCTCCGCCCTCCTATCTGTCCCAATCAATCAAAGATTCTTAAGAGAAATAAGATTTGATGACCAAACCATCTGGGTTGAAAAATCTTCAAACAGGAAAGGCAACATTGCACAAATTGCACGACTTGACAACAATGGGAGAATAAACAAAATTCTGGTCCCCATGGGTGAAGAAAGAAGAGGCTGGCACTCTTTTTACAAGCTCATTAAAGAATTCTCACCAAACACCCAATCCCATAAATTTATTGCCACAACATCGGTCAGTCAACAACAAAAACCTTCTACCTCGTACTGTGACATATTAAAAACAGGTGAAGTTCAGAAAAAGACAAGACTTCTGCAAGTGGCTGAATGGAAAGGTACTTCTCCCTCCATTTACTCCCATGCAAACCCGAACCTCGACTCCTTCATTATTGTTTTCAGAAAATACTTCCATGATGACTGGTTCATTGAATTAATGAAATCGTTTCTTTTCCCAAAAAAAAAAAATAATGGTAGAGGTGTGGATGTAAATGTTGGTGATGGAGCAATCTCAGCTCCGCTCCCATGGGTGGCAGCGGTGGTGGCAGCGGTGGGGCAGGTGGCTTGAGAAGAGGAGGTGGGAAATCAAGCACCACAATCTTGGATCGAATCCAAAGGTTTTCTTCCTTTTGTTTGGGCCTGCAGTGGTGTGTTCTTTGTAGGAATGCTTCGGAAGACCTTGAGCATTTGCTGTGGAATTGTCAGTTTGCTCAAGACTTTTTTTGAACAAGAAACGAACTTTTCATTGATAAATGAAAAGGAACAAAAATTGTTCAAAGATACAAACCCCCAAAGGGGTGAAATGAAGGGGATGAAGAAGGAGAAAAAAAAAAGATACAAACAAACCAATCTTAATAAATGAAGCCTCCCAATTAGAACAAATCATGCTAGGAGAATAATTTGCAAAGAGATTGGAGAGAGCACACTATTGTGAGGCTTTGAACTTAGCTATACTGTAGCATTCGAAAGCTGAGCGGCTTTTCCCTTCGAAAGTCCTTTGATTCCGCTCAAACCATAACTCAGATATAAGCGCTTTAAGGCCGTTTACCCAAAGAAGACTTGCTTTAGGCGAAAAGAAAAGACCAAATAGCAACTGGAAAATTGATGAAGATACTGACTTATCCTTTACCTAAGCTAAATTGAACATATGAAAGAAAAGATCCCAGCGAACTGATGCATAAGGACAAAAGAGAAACAAATGCGCTTGGTCTTCGCCGCACACAAAACACATATAGAAGGTTGGAGGAGCATGTTAGGAAGCTTCTTTTGGAGAGTTTCGAAAGTATTTACCTTCCCATTAAAGGAGAATCCATGTTAGAACATTCACCCTTTTTGGGCTGCACGAATTCCACAATCTTGAAACAAAATCCTTAGGCAGAGATGAAGTACCAACTCTAGGCTTAAAAGGGAGCTAACCGAAAAGGATTCAGAAGAGTTTAAACTCCATTTCAACTGATCTTCATCATCACAAAGCTGAATCGGATTTAAACATGACAGCAAAGATAAATATTCTTCCAATTCTTCATCCTTTAGCATTCTCCTAACTTCAATTCTCCAAGAAGAAGAATGTGAGTCCCAAGCATCATGGACTGGTATAGAAGGAGAAGAGGTGATCCGAAATAAGGATGGAAACCTATCCTTTAAGATAGAATCCCCCAGCCATAAATGGTGCCAAAATAGAACTCGTTTGCCATTCTTAACCCTAAAAAAGGTGAAGTTTGCCACCAACGACCACTGTTTTTTAATGCAAAACCATGGACTACGACGACTACCAATTTTTTTCCCAGAAACATTCCAGTTAAAACGGTCAATACCATAAATGCTTGCCACAACTTGCCTCCAAAGAGCTGAAGTTTCTATACTAAACTGCCAGCCCCATTTGGCTAGCAAAGCATGATTTCTATGCAACAATCTCCCAAGACCCAAACCACCTTCTTCCTTGCAACGAGAGACAATATCCCACCTAACCAAGTGTTTCAATGTACTCTTCTCCCCAAAAAAATGATCTCAAACTTTGCTCAATCTGTTTTCTAATAACTGGCATTTGAAATATTGATAAAAAGTACAATGGAATGCTGCCGAGAACCGAGAGGCAAAGCGTCAACCTCCCTCCACGAGAAAGCTGGTACTTTTTCCATCTATCGAGCTTCTTCATGATTTTTTCTTTAATGGGAT